AAAAAAAAAAAAAAAAAAAAAAAAGTGAAGAATTTTGTGTCTTCTCCAGGTCTTTGCCAGTCTGTCCTGCTAGTTCCTCTCTACTTTGTTTTGGAAAAACTGTGAAACGGAGGATGGGTCTCCCTTCGTCTTCTGTGTCTCTTACTTTTTCTTCCTCATTCTTGCCATTACTTTATTTTTTCAGGAAGAATTCCTCAGCCGGGCCTTCCAGCTCACTGTTTTCTCATCAGTTGTTATGACCACTGTGATATTCTGTTCGTCTTTTGAGTTGGCTTTTTTTTTTTTTTTTCATTTTTAGAACAGTCTATTTCATGCATGAGATGTTGCCATCAGGTTTGAGAGCATTAAGTATACATTGAAAATCTCCTGTTTGGTGCTTTGTCCCTCGGATATCCTTGGGTTGTGTTTTCCGCTCCTCTTTCTATTTGTGTGTCCCTGTTGCCATCTATGGATGCTGTTTTTGCTTACTGTGTCCTGACTTCACTGAGCATAAGCAGGATTGGGACATGCAGCCAGACAGGGAGAGCCAGTCGTTCAGGCCGGCTCCTGGTGATGCCCCGTCATGGAAAACCTTCCTCAGTGGCTTCCTGCCCATGCTCACTTTTCCTGCTTGCAAGTGCCTTTGCTGGTCACTGCTCGGCACCAAAGGGACAGGGCTGTGCTGGGCCATCCAGCTGCTCTATGTATGCTGTGCCAACCAGTCACCATGGTACTTGCTCAGGCCATCTTCTGCTTCCTGTATCCACTGCCTCCAAGCTGGAGCATCCCTGGTTCACCTGCCATCCTATCCTCTTGGCCCACCTCTGCCCCTGAAACTTTTTCTGCTGTGACTTTCTACTGCTCCTGTTTTGGACTGTGGGTTCTTCCATCAATCTGATCTCACCAACTTCCATCTTTTAGATCTGCATATACCCACTTTTTAGAAACAAAATTACTATCTTTCTCTTTTCTGTCTCTTTCTCTTTCTCTCTCTCTGTCTTTTCGTAATTTCTCAGGATTTCAAAATGGTGAACAAATTTCACTTTCTACTTGTTGGTAAATAGTGTTTTCTGTCAAAGTTATAATTTCTTACCCATCAGTTGTGCAACTTCTTGTGTACTGTCATTGTGTACTGTTACGATAAATGTCTGCATCTTAATAGATAGCTCTCTTAAGGTTATTTTGAATGATTTGGGGCAGATAGCAATTTTGTACCTGAAATCACATCTGAGGGACATGATCATAAACTAGAGTGAGGTGCCTGCCCACAAATATCCTGACTTTTGCTCAGAACCTGCAGTGTCCAGTGGATGCTTCTGTCAAATGATGATCATTATGGGGCTCGATTTGGGACAGTTTATCTGGAGATTGGAACTGTGTTCCACAGAGAACGTATTTAACTTTACTGGAAAGAAAGTGCTCTAAACCTTTAAAATACATGTATTGTAAATTTTTGGAAAGCTCCAACATAATATGTAACTTCGGGGCTGTGCCCAGGCCTTGGACCTCTTCCAGGGCCAGCTGCCCCTTTTCCAGTTTTGCCATCTGTTCTGATTATTTATCCCTAATTGATGTGAGTGATCTGGCCACACCACCCTTGATATATCACACCAGTACCCTTACAACAGATACTCAGGAGACAGTCAGTAAACTTGGCAGATGACGGGGGAGCCATTGCCTACATCAGAAAATGACCGAAACAATAGGGTTTTTGTGTGCTACTCCACACCTCGCTGCTTCAGGGCCAAAGGAGAGACTGTAATCTGTGCTCTAATCCCGTCAATAGCATCTCTATCTTCGTAGTTTCATCAGAGTTAAGCATCATATGACAATTTGGCTTTATCTTGTGTCAACCTAATATAATCCAAGGATAAATTCCTAGTAAGGCATCTAGATCATAACCTGTTTTAGCACCTATATCTTTTATAACCAGTAACATCGTTCCTGTCTCTTTTATTTATTGGGAAGATTAATCGTTATCTATTAAGAAAACATCCCCCTCTCAGCAAGTGCTTCTTCTAGACTTTGCAGTGTGGTGTGCCTTCCTTACTGTGACTGTGTTCATGACTGCTCGATTTTCACAAGTATTAAGGTAGTGATCAGGGCATGTTTGGTGCCCACTGTTGATTTGTGCAGGGATCATAGTCACTGGCACCTGTGCTTGTCTCCTTTGCCCCGGACTGACATGGCTTATTGCTATGCAGTATTTTCTATGGAGCCCAGCCCACCCTCAGAATTTTATCCAGCACAGTCCTTTCAGCCAGTAGTTCTCAAATTTGAGTGAGCATCAGAACAACCTAGAGGGATTATGAAAGTACACATTGCCCACCCCCAGAGGTTCTGATTCAGTAGGTCTGGGGTGTGGCCCAAGAACTTACATTTCTGACAAGTTCCCAAGTGATCACGATGCAGCTGGTCCAGGAACCACCTTGTGAGGACCACTGCTCTAGACACTGGGTGGTAGCACTTGAGCAGAAACACGTGCGTCTCCTGGAAGGGAGAGTTTCAATTCCCGATTAGACACAGCGTTTTCTTTTCTTGGGGCCGGACCTCATTATGCATTTGCATTCTTACTCAATTTGTATTCTCTGAACATAATTTAACTTGGTATTCACCTCATTAACATACTTAGGTACAGAGAATGGTGTGATGTGCCAAATTACCAAATATAAAAGGACTTGTGAATTATCTATGAATTTACACTATGCTGTATCACATGTTCTCTGATTCTCTGGATATGGGATCGATAGCCGATAGTTTCAGTACTAAATATCCTTCAAGATCTATTCACATGGCATTTCTATCTAGTCTTTTATGTTTTTCACAGACATAAGCTCCCTGTCATCTAGGTCCTATGAAAATTTTACCTCTATAAACCATACACCTTTACCCTCAGTTGGATAAATGCCTGGTCATCCCTGTTACTATTAGTGCTATATTAGCTGGGTAACCGTTTTATTCATCTTCGTATGCCCTAC